AGTCCCTCGGCCCTTAAAGGGGAAAGGTTGCCTACCCCTGCTTCAAGTGGTTTATAACAATAAAACATAGGCTAAATGTCTCACAAAAGTACAGTTCCCAGGATTTCCCTAGCACTGAGTCAGGGCAGTTAAAATGGTGTTAAACTGGATTATTTCTGCAGTGTGTTTTGGACCTTTGCCGTTGCCCTTCCCTTTGTCATTTACCAGAGCCAGGGGTAGGCAACCTTTCCCCTTTAAGGGCCGAGGGACTTCAGCTCCCAGAAGCCTCAGCCATGTTGGCCAATAGTCCCATGTTGGCCAATAGCTCCTGGGATTCTGGGAGCTGAAGTCCCTCTGCCCTTAAAGGGGAAAGGTTGCCTACCCCTGCCAGAGACATTTATTGAAGGCAAAAAGGCGGGAAACTTTGGGTAAGCCTTTGCTTGGCCTCAGCTTTTGCAAATAAGCAACTGTGGGGCGGTGCTGTTCCTGTGACGTGTGACGTGTGTTGCTGCCTCGTTTCTCTTCACTACCGGGAAGTTCCAACGCTGGGAGGTGTAACGACGTTTCCCTCGTTCTTCCCTGCTGCAGAGCAACGAGGTAAGTAACGCCGTTACACGGGCCGTTCCTTCATGTGCGCTTTTATCCCTAATCTAATCCTCTCCCTCTCTCTTCTCTATTATCCCTCTCTATATATTATAGTACATATATTAAAATAGCACAATTTTCTGGGTCCCAGGGTGTATCTTTGTTGCTGTTGTGTGCCTTCAGCTCTTTTTTTCTGACTCATGGCGACCGTAAGGCAAACCTATCACAGGGTTTTCTTGGCAAGGTTTCTTCAAAGAGGGGTTTGCCATTGCCCTCCTCTGAGGCTGAGAGAGCGTGACTTGCTTAAGATCACCCAATGGGTTTCCATGGCTGAGCCGGGATTCGAACCATGGTCCCCAGCGCCATAGTTCAAAGCTCAAACCGCAACGTCTCAATGGCCCCCTAATTTGTTCAGAGGAGGTTTGCCATTGCCTTCCCCTGAGGCTGAGAGAGTGTGACATCGCCAAGGTCATGCAGTCAGGGTGACTAGAGGTCCCACATAGGACAAGGCACCTCAAAATGGGAGACGTTCAGGAAAAATGGAGGACAGGGCCACATAAAAGCTAAAGAAATGTAAATGTACACTTCTAGAAATGTAAATCCAGGCTCCTTAGTCATGAGTCCCTATACTGGGAGAAAGGCAGGATATAAGAAAATATAATAATAATGATGATGATGATGATGATGATGATGCACAAAATGGAGGACATTCTGGAATTTCTCCTGGACAGAAGGTTGAAATGGAGGACATGGCCTGGAAAAGGAGAGGATGACCAGATATCATAACCGCAAAGGAGAGCAAAGTACCTCAAAATGGAGGACCTTCCAGAAAAATGGATGATATGACTAAACAAAAGCTGAAAACACTCCTGTCAATGTAAATTCAGGCTACTTGGTCGTGCTGAAAATGGAGGACCTTTAGGAATCCCTCCTGGACAGAAGGTGGAAATGGAGGATGTGTCTTGGAAGAGGACAGGATGACCAGATATCATAACCGCAAAGGAGGAGAAGGTACTGCAAAATGTAGGGCATCAAGAAAAATGTAGGGCACTACAATGTAAACGCTCGAAACACTCATGTCAGTGTAAATTCATGCTTCTTAGTCTTGCTCAAAATGGAAGACGTTTTGGAATCCCTCCTGGACAAAAGGTGGAAAATGGAGGATGTGTCCTGGAAAAGGAGGACCCTGGTCAGCCTACACCCAGCGGGTTTCATAGCTGAGCAAGGACTCAAACCCTGGTCTTCAGAATTGGGAGTCCCAAAACTCAAACCACTGTGCCACGCAGTCTGGCCAATATAAAAAGATAGTAATAGTAGATAGTAGATAGTAGAAATAATGCAGTTTGACACCATATTAAATGCTGTAGCTCCATCCTGTGGAATCCTGGGATTTGTCCTTTTACCTGGTCTTTAGCCTTCTTGACCAAAGATTGCTGGCACCTCACCAAACTACACATCCCAGAATTCTGCAAGATGGAGCCATGGCAGTTAAAGTGGTGTCAGACTGCATTATTTCTACAGTGTAGATGCATCCCCAGAGGAGTGCTTTAAAACCAAAGAAGATTGAATAGAGCAATTGAAAACAGGTTATTTACAAAAGGCGTCAGATGTCCAAATTGGGAATGATAGGAAATGCAGTGCAACATGCAACGGCAGGTAGGTCTCGACATGCAATTCTGATGATGGTGCTGGAGACGAGTGGTTTTATCCTCTGAACTGAGATTATACTACATCAATTTGTCCAAGTCTGGAGATCCAGAATTTTTCTCATTTGTCAAGCATGGCTGGATCATGGAATTGCTCTATTTGGAACATAACAGTGTTTGGATTGAAATGTTTTGCAACACCTTGTTCCAGCTTTTTGATGGTGGCTGACCATTTATGCAAAGATCACTGGTGGTTTCTCCCATGTATTGCATGCAGGGTTGTTGTTTACTGCGCTCAAATTGATTTCGACTTAGGGTGGCCCTATTAATGAGACACTTCCAAGGGTGCATCTACACTGTTTATAAATTTAATACATTTTTTAATCTAGTTGATTTTAATTACCTTTTTTATTGCAAAGATTTTAAATGGTTGTATTTGTAAGCCGCCTTGGGTCCCTTTCTTGAAGAAAGGTGCCATCGAAATGAAGTGAGATAAATAAAAACACATTGTAGAAATAATAATAATAATAATAATAATAATAATAATAATAATTTATTTATTTATATTTCCTGCCTCTCCCTACAGATCGAGGCGGGAGTACAAAGATAAAATGTACAGTAGTACAGTAAAAAAGAAAAAAGAAAACATAACAATAAAAACCACAACAGTAATGAAAAGAGCAATAATAAAAACAATAAACCCAACAATAAAAACAATAAAGATAACAGCAATAATTAATCCAATAATAAAATTACAATGCAGGTCTATAATGCAGTTTGACACCACTTTGACTGTCATGGCTCCATCTTACAGAATCCTGGGATTTGTAGCTATGTAATGCACCAGCATCCTTTATCAGAGAAGGCTAAAGACCTTGTAAAACTACAAGTCCCAGGATTCCATAGGAGGGAGCTACAGCTTGTTCCAGCTTACAGCGACAGTAAATTCCATTGTGAGACAGTTAAAGCGGTGTAAACTGCATAGAGCAATTCCATGATCCACCTACGCTTGACAAGTGAGAAAAATTCTGTATCTCCAAACTGGACACATTGATGTAGTCTGGTCTCAGTTCAGAAGACAAAACCACTCTTTTCTCCATCACCATCATCAGAATTGCCTGCTTAGACCCACCTGCCATTGCATGGTGCATTGCATTGCATGTCGCACTTCATTGCCTATCACTCCCACTTCGGATATCTGAAATGTTTTGTAAATAACCATTCTATTCAATCTACTTCAGTTTTAAAGTACCCCTCTGAGGGGGTTCTTCTACACTCCAGAAATAATGCTGTTTGACATCACTTTAACTGTCATGGCTCCATCCTACAGAATCCTGGGTTTGTCGCTTTGGGAGGTACCAGCACTCTTTGGCAGAGAGTACTAAAGACCTTGTAAAACTACAAGTCCCAGGATTCCATAGGAGGGAGCTGCAGCTTATCAGACTTACAGCTACCGTAAATCCCATTCTGGGACTTAGTCCAAGGTAATAGTATATTACATAAATTGCACTCTAAATTAGTTTCTTTTCTTTGTTGTATTTCAGAATGGGATTGGATTGGATTGGTTTTGGCTATGCAGCGTTAGTGGCCTCTGGAGGAATGATTGGCTATGCAAAAGCAGGTATAGTACTGGTGTATCATTGTGGTCTCTCATTTTTTCCAATTAAATTGACCCCCTGAATAGAAAGTCTCCGTCTATCTTTTTTTGTTTTAAGTTAAAAAAATAGTTCAAGGATGCATTTTTCAGTCTGTCAATAGATAAGAAGCTGCCGTTATTAGTTTTTGGAGCAGAAGGCTGATCTACTGTTGCAGGCAATGGATGTTGCTCTTGTTTGAAATAGTGCTTTGGAAAGATAAACTCTCAAACAGCTATCTGCTCTGGTATACCGACTAACTTATTGCAACGCCCTGAGCTGTGTGCAGTGCAAGTAATGTTTTTTTCCTCCAGTTTACAAGCATGGTCTGTTGAAGTAATTAATAAGTCACACATTTTATTTTATTTTCTAGAAATGTGTGTTGAGGACAAATATGACACAAAGCTCATTGAATCTAACATGTAAATTAGCACCTTGGAAACGCAGTCACAGGCTCATAAAAAAACTAATTAAAATCTATGTGACCTAAATTTAATGGAGGAGAACCACTGAGGGAACTGTGCCTATCAGATACACTTCTCCCTCCACACTGTAGCTCCTGTTGCATTCCAGACGCAGAAGGAGAACTGGGAATCCTCCAAAGCTGTTTTTCAGGGGCTGCCAAGGACTTTGGGGAGGGAGAAGAAGAAAAAATTGGTTTGTAACACCAATTTTGTGTCTAATTTAAGGCTGTGGTTGCGGCTGTCTGAAACTCATGCAATTATCAAATACTTGCTTTCTTGTCATATCTAAATTTACTTATTACTTCAAGGCTATAGCCATATATCAGAGCTGCCGATTCCCTAGGTCTAGGCTTGGGATTGCATGCACGCCCTCCTGAACCTGAGCCGACTGTACCTCATGCCTTGTCCAGCATTTTTAAAAAAGATTGAAAAGAGCCCTCCCTGAGGGAAAACATTACAAAATCACCCCATGGCCCTTAGAGGAGGTGGAGAACCCCTTTCTCATTAATTTAAAAGAAAACATGCTAGGGTGCACTGGGATTTATCCCTCTTCCATTTGTCCCACTCAGGAGTAAGCAATGTTGAACTCTAAGGGACATATGAATTGATATGGGTAGGATTGTGCTGTGAGAACCTAAAGGACATTATGCATTACCATCTGCTACACTGCCTCTGGCTGCTGTCATACTGCAGAGTTAATGGAGTTAAAGCAGTGTTTAACTGTAATGGCTCTATCCTATGGAATCCTGGGATTTGTAAACATTCAGGGGTAGTTGTGTTGGCCATTTAACAAATTCAAACAAAAATCCATCAGTGATACCTTTATTGGCCAACCCAATTGCCCAGTATACTTGTTGCAAGCTTTCGAAGCTCCATGGATTTCCTCATCAGGCAAGATGTCACAAACCAAACAGGAGAAAAACAATTGGAGA